ACATGGGTGAGGATGACACAGCTCCAGCCCACAGGGGGATTGTTTGGTGGTTAGACAGACACTGGCAAACAGGCAGAGTCTACACAGTGGGTGAGAGGGCAGGGAGGCACAAGGCGTGAGCAGCTAAATTGAAAATGTGGTTGGCCGGCTATGGCCTCCCCTGGGGGGTGGCCCCAGTGTCAGATTTGGAATGTTGAAGTGGATTTGGAAACTCCAGAGAAGCCTTAACCACCTTTTGGTGGGTTATTGCTTTCTTGGATTCTCATTACTCCATTTCCTCGGAAAGCACCTGTCTGGCTTATTTCTGGAAGGTGGGATAAGCCTGTTTTGTGTTAATTAAATCACATTCTGAGAGTACCGGGGGAGCTGGCTATGTTAAGAAACTGTGGTAAATCCTCTTGTTAATCAAAGAATCCTTTTAATGTGAATGATGACACTCCTGTTTCTCTGTGTTTTCAAATTACATTTGATATATTTATTTCCATTAAACACCCAAAGGGGACTTTTGGAAATCAAACATAATTTAGTTTGAGAATTTTATTTGTAAATATTGGAGCACCTCATGCCATCTCAGGAGACCCTCAGGGAGGTTCCCAACCAAAGTGGGAATTAATACCTTTAATGAAGAGGGATTCAGGGCAAGAATCAGATTCCCTGCAGTCTCCCCACCTTGCTTTGGCGGGTTAACTCCTTCGTGTCGTTACCTAACTCAGCTCAAACAGTACCTTTTTTTGAGCTTCAGTATTTTTGTGTGGTAACATAGGCATCACGTGAAACTGAAGTGTACAGTTTAGTAGCGTTAAGTACATTCACATCATTGTGCGACCCTCAGTTCCATCTGCTTCTGGAATTTCTTCATCTTCCTCAATGAAACTGTCCCAGTGAGACGTTAATTCCTCGGTTGCCCCCACTGGCCCCTGGAAGCCACCCTTCTGTTTTTTGCTCCATGCATTCGACTACTCTAAGTATCAAATGCTGCTGTTTATTTATTTAGAGAACATGATGGGGGGAGGGGCCGAGAGAAAGGAAGAAAGAGAATCTCAAGTAGGTTCCACTCCCAGCACGGGGCTCAATCTCATGACCCTGAGAACATGACTCAAGCCGAAATCAGAAGTCGGACGCTTACCTGACTGAGCCACCCCGGATCCCTAAACTTCACTTTTATTTTAATCGATCATACGGTACAGTGTTTAAAGAGTCAAATCATTTCAGAAGACTTGTTATAAAAAGCAGCCAAACCTTCATTCTTCCTCCCCAAGTCTTGCTCTCCAGCGACAACCATACTGAATTCTTTTAGTCTTGACGTTCACATCCATAGACCGAAGGAAGGTGCTTATGTTGCTCCTTCTTGATTGTTCTGTTTTAGGCATTTTCTATTGATTTCTCACTACGAAAAATAAGAATTTAGGTTCCCCGTAATTCCTTTGAAATATGTTTTATTATGAAGCATACGTAAGAGAGTCTTCCATAGCCTGTTAAAAATAAAATAATATTACTTGTTCAGCTTAAGAACAAGATGGGGGAGGGAGGCGGCGCCTGGGTGGCTCAGTGGGGTAAGCCTCTGCCTTCGGCTCAGATCATGATCTCAGGGTCCTGGGATTGAGCCCCACATTGGGCTCTCTGCTCAGTGGGGAGCCTGCTTCCCTCCCCTCTCTCTGCCTGCCTCTCTGCCTACTTGTGATCTGTCAAATAAATAAATAAAATCTTAAAAAAAAAAAAGAAAAGAAAAAGAACAAGACCGGGCACTGTTAAAAGCCTGCATGTGCCCCTCCTTGTGATCCCTTCTCTTTTCCAGATGAAACCACTAATCTGTGCTAATAATGTCCTTTTCCTCATAATTATCCTGTGTGTATATATTCCCAAACAATCTATTGTTGAGTGTTACCTGTTTGTGAATGTAAACATGTAAATGGAAACATATGGTATATTCTGATTTTGCTCCTTTCACTCAGTTTTACGGTTCTGAGGTTTGTCCCCTGGATGGATGTGACTACAGCTCATTCCTTCCCTCTACTCTCTTGTGTTTGGTATGAATACGACTACACCTTCGTTCGTCTGGCTTGTCCTTGTAGCTGGTGCTCATGAGCAAGAGATTCTCCAGGCTCCGTAGGTGGGAGTGGAATTGTTAGGACATAGGGTGTACGGTACCTTTTCAAGTTCACTAGGTAACGACAGCCGGTGGTAATCTTACCAATTTAAACTTCCAGCAAGAGTGGTTGAGAGAGATCACTTGTGAGTGCTTTGCTGTGAAATGGCCTTGCATATGTTTGACCCATGAAAAGAAATGAATGCACAGATGTTCTTTCTATAGCATGGATAGCAAGGGCTTACTGGTTTTGTGTATCATAAATATGTCTTCTCAGTTTGAAGTCGGCTTTCTTTTTTTTAAGATTTATTTATTTGACACACACAGAGAGAGAGAACAAGCAAGGGGAGCAGCAGGCAGAGGGAAAAGCAGGCTCCCCACAGAGCAGGGAGCCTGACGTGGGGCTTGATCCCAGGACTCTGGGATCATGACCTGAGCTGAAGGCAGACACTTACCGACTGAGCCACCCAGGTGCCCCTGAAGTTGGTTTTCTATTCTCTGTCAAGGATTTTTTTTTTTTTTTAAGATTGTATTTATTTATTTGACAGAGGGAGAGAGATCACAGAAAGGCAGGCAGAGAGAGAGGGGAAAGCAGGCTCCCCACTGAGCAGAGAGCCCAATGCGGGGCTCGATCCCAGGACCCTGAGATCATGACCTGAGCCAAAGGCAGAGGCTTAACCCACTGAGCCACCCAGGCGCCCTCTGTCAAGGATTTTAAGAACAGAAGCTCTTAAAATTTAGTTTAGTTTTGTTGGTTGTATCCATTTTGCCCTTTATGGGAAGGGCGTGTTCTTTTTATGTTCTTTTTTATTTTATGTCTTATTTACAAAAATTATTCCCTATCCCAACGTCAGGAAATATTCTCTATGTTATCTTCCAAGTGTGTTACAGTTTTGCCTTTTACATGTGAGCATTTTAATCTACCCGAAATTGATTTTTATATGTGATGCAAAAGGAATTTCATTCCATTTTTTCTCATCTCCATCTACAGTCGTTCCAGAAACATATACTGAATAGCCGGTCTACTTCACAGTGATCTGCTGGGCCAAAGTCTGCAAAAAACGAAGAGCCCAATATGCTTGGGTTCATTTCTGCACTCGATTTGTCTATCTGTGCCAATACTATAGTGTCTTTGTTACTATAGCTTTATAATATGTTTTAATGGATTCTGTAGGAAGTCTTTCCACTCTGATCTCAGGATTATTTTGACTCTTAGGATGTATGGTTGTTTGTGTTCTTTTTTTTTTTTTTTTTTTTTGTATACATGTTTATCAGCTTGTGAAATTTTGTGGAACTGTTAGGCTTTTGAAGGCGGTCACCTCGCATCTCTGCGTCTGTTTGGGGGTAGCCAAAGAGTCAGTAGAGGAAGCTAAACCAGGAAAACATCCAAGACAAGAAGATCTTCAAAGCAACTGGTGGTAAGAAAAGATCACCTGCTAAAGAACAGTGAATAGACTAGTTGATTACCTTTGAACAGGACAAATGGAAACCGGAAGACTGCGGGAGAATGTTTCCAATGTGTTGACAGGAAAACAATAACAAACCTGGAATGGATATCCAGTTAAACTCTTTTAAGAATGAAAGCAAATTAAGGGTGCCTGGGTGGTGTGGTTGGTTAAGCCTTGGGCTCTCGGTTTTGGCTCAAGTCATGATCTCGGGATCGTGAAGTCAAGCCCCACTTTGGGCTCCATACTCGGTACGGAGTCTGCTTCAGATTCTGTCTCCTTCTTCCTACCCCTACCGCTTGTGTTCTTTCCCTGCTTCCCGCCAAACAAATAAATAAATCTTAAAAAAAAAAAAATGGCATGAGGGGCACCTGGGTGACTTCGTCGGTTCAGTGTCTGCCTTTGGCTTAGGTCGAGATCCCAGGGTCGTGATCCAAGGGTCCTGGGATTGAGTCTGCATCAAGCTCCCTGCTCATAGGGGAGCCTGCTTCTCCCTCCACCTGCTGCTGCCCCTGCTGTGCTCTCTCTTCTTCTTTCTCTGACAAACAAATAAATAAATAAACAGAATGAAAACAAAAGAAAAACTTGCAAACAAATAAGGACAGAGAACGTCACTAAAGGAAAGTTTCAAAAGATCTACTTCAAGCAGAAGGAAAATGACCCTAGATTCTAGGCATATTCTCCTAGCGGGGGGCAGATCAGGAATTGGGCTGGAGAGAACCCCTCAGGGGGTAAAATTTGCTCACCGTTGAGGTGTCTGGCTTTTACTCCTTTTTGGGATCTGTAGATTTTTACTCTCATGCCAACTCAGTGGTACCTTTTAAAAGTCATTATAGATACGTTACCCAACATTTTCGTTGTTTCACGTGGGCAGGATTGTTTGGGCTTGTAAACCCCTCACCTGCAGGAGATAAAATTCCTCCAACAGATCTTCTAGAAGATTCTCCCTGTCTCCTCAGTCTGTATGGAGGCAGTGGTACCTGTCCTCATGGCACACTGGAACACACACACCTGTGATATTTTTACAATTATTTGCAAAATAATTGTACTTATTTAACTGTACTTATTTAACTTACCCCATTAGAAACCTCAGGGCCAGGTCTGTATTGTTCTGTATTTTATTCCCACACCTTAGCAAGTGCCTGGCACATAGCAGAAATTCGGTAGACATTTACTGAGTAAATGATAGATGAATAATTAATTTTGAGTGAGAAGCCAATATTAGGTATTAAGGCAAGCACAGCTATGTGTCTCTGAGAGGCACTGCTCTGGGCTGGTGAATTCCCACAGAACTGTGCTGTGTAATGTGATAGCCATTAGCCACATGCGACTATTTAAATTATTGAAATTAATTAAAATTAAATAAAAGAAGACATTCCACCCCTCAGTCACACTGGCCACATTTCAAGTGGCTAGTGGCTATCCCATCGGGCAGTGCAGACATAGAACTTTTCCATTATCACAGAAAGTTCCATTGGAAGGGCTGCCGTAGAGTTCACAAGAGTTCTGAAGAACTCTTCTCTCTTCCTCTCTCTTTCTCTTTTGCTCTTGCTCTCAATCTTTCTCTCTCTCTCTCCCCACCCCTACACCAAAAAGACAGGGATAGTTGTCTTATTATTAGTGACTTAAGTGATGCTTTTGAACAAGAAGATGCTGGGTACTTTTGGTGACTAGTACCATCCCACTTTTTTTCTTCTAAATTCCCAAGCTATTGTTTACTAGAACACTCTTTTATACTTGTTTCTACTAAAACTGAATGTTACTTGGGTGGAAAGCCTAATTGCTTTCTTTTCTAGGTCCTGAAACCCTTTGCTAATGTTTCTGTCTGAGAGTTCCTGAAGTCAGGGTTCTAGGAGAGTTTGGCATGTCTGAACAGCTGAACCCCGAAATAATGGAGTAGGTCAGGTGGGGTGTGGGAGCAGGGCATCCTGTCAATGAAAGAGCTCCCTTCTCCGCACACATGGCTGGTTAATTAGTCATTCTGGGAAAGGATGGATGGGGAGGGGGGCTTCTGAGAATCGCCAGTGACAGTTAAGTGGCCTTTTGTTGATGTCCTCTGCTGAACAACTTTGTTGGATTTTAGTCTCTGTTTTTCCTCGGCCTCCTGTGGATTTTCTGTTAGATTCATTTACCATTCAGGCATCATCTTTCACTTTCCCCTTCCAATATGACTGCTTTGTGTGCTGCCCTCGGCTTTATTCCCGCTCTTCCCGGACCATAAAGGGGGCTGTGTGGGGCATCGGCAGGACTGAGAAATTGACTCTGCCGTCTGTCGAGAACCATAATGATTGCAGTGACCTTGGTGTCTAGCAGAAAATGCACTACCTGTGCCGGCCTAGCGGCGACCGGCTGAAGACAGAGGAAAGGGAGTCTTTCCTGAATTCCTTCTCATGCTATGTACCTATTTGCTTGGTTCCCCTCTCCGTTCCCTTCTGTCCCCCTCTTCCCCGCTGCCATTGGAGCCCTGACCTAAGGTGCAGCTGTGACTAAGCGTTAATGCTTGGAAATAATGATACATTCTATTTTGCAGGCCTGGCCAAGCCAGTTCACCCAAGCTGTCTCATCTAATACCCCTCCAGACCCCTGTGAGGTAGGGAGGGGAGGTATTATTAACCCCATTTTCCTGATGAGCAAACTGAGATTTAGAGAGATTAGGGCAGTTGCCCTCAGTCTTTTAGACAGGAAGTGAGCACGTGGTCTCTGTCTCTAAACCCAGCCTTCTTTCCATGGCGTCCGCACCTTTATGTGTGAGGAGGACATGGCCCGGGGGAAGTGTGAGTGGATGGGGAGGGCGAAGGAGAGCCAAAAAGAAAAGAGTTCAACGAGGAGGGAGGAAAGGAGTGATTTCCTTGGGCCTCTAGCTGTTCTCATCTTTCCTCGGAGATGGAGGATTTGATGTTCCCCAGAGGCTGGCCCAGCAAACCTCCAGGGAGGAAAGAAAGCCAAAAGCCTTGTCTTCCTATTTCCCTCTTTCCTCTTCCCAGGAGGGGATTTGCCTAGCAGTGGGGAGGGGTGGCCCCAGCTCTCCCCAGGCCCTGCGTGTGGGAGTCACATACTGGATCTCCCCAGAGAGAACCTAATGCCTGTTCTCAGGCCGCGCCTGCCGGCCTTTAGGTGCTGCATTGCCTTGAGGCCTGGGCCATGCCTGCACACGAGGAAGGCCCCTGAAGCTCTCCTGAGGGAAGAAGCATGCAGGGCGCCCCTGGAGGAGGCCCGGGCCCTGGCCCATCCCCTGTGGACAGGTGGACGCTCGTGGTCTTCAGCTTTATTATGGCAACAGTTTTGGGCCAAATGAATTTCACAGGGTGAGTGGTTGCTCCACTGGGTGTGTGTGTGTGTGTGTGTGTGTGTGTGTGTGGCAGCTGTTGAGAGCTTGGGGACCAGGTTTGTGTGTGTGGGGAGGGAGGTGACTGCCCCACTGGGACCTGGCCAAGGCGGAGGGAGTCGGGACCTCGGTTCCCATTCAGGTCGGTCATCTCCCATGCCTGTGCTCAAGGGTGGGACAAGCGGCTGTGGGACAAGCGGCTGTATTATTGTCCCTCCCCACACGAGTTCTTCATCTGCGGCCCATGGGGAAGCCTGAACCCCCTGATTCTTGGTTATAGATGAGGTTGTTGGCATATCTACTTTTTTTTTTTTCTGGGGTTGGGGGGAAGTTTTATAACTTTTTTCTGGTTCTTAAGGAAGTTAGTAACCGCCAGAAGACTATGTCTCCTTACCCTAGGGACGCAGTATTGTCCTCCTGCGAATAAGGAGAAGCGTTAGTGTCTTACACCAGGCCCTCTAGGGACCTGTTTCTCAGCCTCCCAAAGCTCATGCTGGGTGACTACCCCATGGCATCCCCAAAATGGTGATCAGAGAGGGGGTCAGAGAGGGGCTTCGTCCTCCCCGCTATCAGAGCCAGCCAGGGAGGGAGACGGTGCCCTCCCAGACGGCAGACCCCGGGGGCCACAGGCAGGCTGCTGTCGCGCCGCCTCACAGCCCGTCCAGTGGGATGGGAAGGGGCTCAGCTTCCTCCCATAAGGTGGTGTCAGGCGGATCCCCCCTTCTGTGTCCTCAAGCTCTTGAGAGAAGGCTAGAGAGGGCCCAGGGTTTGGGCAGACCACGGCCCTGGGCCCTTGTGTGAAGAGCCCTTGGGGCCACAGTTGGTCTCCCCTGCCCCCCTGGATCTATTCCTTCCTCCCCTTCGTTCCTTTTGTTCTCCATCCTCCTCCATTCTCCTGTGGTGCCTTTCCCGCTCTTCCTCCCCCTGTCTTGGCGCTGGGTTCATCAGTCGCTCTTCCAGGCTTTATGTAGTCCCTTAGGTGGCCTGTCCTCAGGCTGGAGTGGCCCCCATCCCAGGCTGAAGGACTCATGTGCTTCCCAGAGCTACGTGTCCTTCTTCTCTGGGTCCTCTAGCCTCCAGCCTTTCTGCCAGGGGCCCTCGGCCTGGTGTCTTCTCACACAGCCTCCTCTAAGCAGCCCAGCCTTCCAGGAGGCCCTCTCCGCAGCTCCCTCTGTCTTCCCTCTGTCTTTCCAGAGACCAGGTTCTTCGAGTCCTGGCTAAAAATGAGAAGCAGCTTTCAGCTCTCAGGGATCTGGATGGCCTGAAGCCCCAGAAGGTGAGGACTCCTCAGAGCTGAGGAACACGTTCCGCGCTCTCTCAGAGGGCCTTTGCCCCTTCAGCCCTCTCTCCTGCTCCCCGCACCCCAAGCCTGACCGCCAGACAGCTCCGCCAAAGAGCACAACACTGTGGAAAATCAAATTCTCTTCAGGAAAGGTTGGGAACACTCGCCCAGAAGGTTGGGTGGTCCTTCTTGGCTTTCTCCTCTGTCCTAGGTGGGGGGCTGTAGGGCAGACCCATCGGGGGCCACTTTGCAAGGGACTGGAACGTCCTGAAGCCACAGAGGAAGCACATAGGTCCCTGGGTGGGCTGCCATGCGGAGTGTAGCCTGGACACATCTGTTTCCCAACTGAAATGGCTTTAGCTTGGCAAACCTGTGTTTTATTTGGGTTCGTCCCTGTCAGGCTGAGCATTTGTTTCCGAGAATATTGTCCTCTGCAAGTACTCCACCATGGAAAACATTTTCTTCAACCGTTAGGTTAGAAGGGTTATGTTGGAGGCTTCTCGAAACAACCAGATATTTCTGGGGGTGGCCCGGAGCCCTTGTCCCTATTTGTTTGCGTACCTCTCTCTCCCCTGGGACTTTATAACAGCTCTCTCTGTTTTACAAATTGGGAAAGAGACGTCGCGTTCAAATGACGTGGGAATCCAGATCGGGTGCTCCCCACCTCTCCGGGACTTAGGGGCAGTGAGGCCTTCCTCTTCTGACCAGGGTTCTTGTCCACGTTCATGTCCCACACAACGAGCTGTCTCGCTCTTGGCAACTGTGTTGGGCTCTTGGGGTTCAGGTGAAGTTGTAGTGTGTGGGTGAGGCTGAGAGAGGACGGGGTGCTGGGAATTACAGAGGGAAGCTCAGTTGGGGAGTTTTGTTTGTTTGCTCCCCTCTTTCCGCTAGGTCTTAGAGTTTTCATTTTGGAACTGGGGCCCTTTTAACTGTGTAAGAGAAGGTGACCTCCTGGCTACTTTAGGTGCCTACTGAATCGTGAATAAGGATGTGTGAGAAACATGTCTGTTCTCCTTTCCCCTCTTTTCCTTTGTGACCAAGGTGGACTTCTGGCGTAGCCCAGCCAAGCCCAGCCTCCCTGTGGATATGAGAGTTCCTTTCTCAGAACTGAAAGACATCAAAGCTTACCTGGAGTCTCACGGCCTTGCCTACAGCATCATGATAAAGGACATCCAGGTGAGGTCCTGCCCCAGGGCTGCGGCTAGGGGCCCACCTTCTACATGGCTGTCTGGTTTGGGCCCGACGAGGAGGAAAACAAGCCGGGGCTAACAGTAGACATCTTGTTTCTAGAGTTCCATCTGCGTTCTTGTGAACTGGCTGTGGAAGGAATGAAATCTCACACTTGTCAGAGAATATTTAAATCTAGGACAGAGTCCACGGGGCGGGGCGGGGTGGGGGGGTTCTCCTGGTGTGGGAATGGTGGTCACTTGCCGGTTAGTCCTCTTGGGGAGGAATTAGCCGCTCGCAGCTGAGGAGGAGAGTGGAGGGGGTCGGGCAGGAAGGAGGAAGGAGCTGAGGTCTTTCCTAGACACGAGGAGAAGGCAGCACTGGATGGCTCCCTTGGCTTTTCTGACCGCCCCTCTTGTCCTGGTGGTGTCTCAGCCATCCAATACCAGAGAGTCCCTTCACTCCAGACAAGAGGGAAGAGGTGAATGAGACTAACTGTGGGCCCGCTGTGGCCTCCCTCTCAACACCCGTACCGCAAGGCTCTCAGTCCTGGACACCTCTCCCAGGCAGGGCGCTCCCAGGGGAGCCGCAGACCCGGCCTCAGGGAGGGCAGAGGGAGCCTTCCTCGGGGCCATGCCAACTCCCCACCCGCACCGCTCCGCACACCTGACAGTGTCTTCTGGACATCATGACATTTTGTTTCCACTGTTCTGTCTTCAAGGCTCTCCCAAGGAGCCTCCTTCCTCAAGCCGATCTTGTGGGTACCACGTGCTGGTTAAGCCTCCCCGGCTGCCCCCCCTGCCGTTGGGTACCTGTAGGAGCGTAGCCACCTAGATTCTCCCCCAGCCCCGCTGTGCCGCAGCTACTCTCTGAGGGCTCTGAGTGTGGGAACACAGTCTCCCCGGCACACACACTTGACACCGGTGCCAAGGGATAAGCGCTTTGGGGGCATTCCTTTCCCATGGGAGCCTGGGGCTGGGTCCCTTAGGTCCGTTCAGAGACCTTGAACCCCCACGTGCTCGCTGCTCAGCGTGCAGGACTGGGCTCTTTCTCTGACTAATTCCCCACGAACCAAAATGGGGACACTCCCGCAGACAAGACAGGGTACCACATCGAAAGAAACAGCACTCAATTCTCATTTTTAGCCCAAGCCTGAATTTTGAAGTTTGCATTTCCCTGCTTCTGCCGGGCCCTGGAAACCGCCGCAGCATTTGGCAAGCAGATATGAAGAGGTCTCTTAAAATTTTCTGTTGATTTCTGCACATCAGGAATGGCCCCAGAGGCACTCTGAGCCTGTACACAGGCTCCTTTGGAGCTGTCGTCCTTGTTCTCCTCAGCCTGTCCTCTCTTGTGCTCCCCTGGCCTGGAATCCCTGGGGGGTGGGGGGTCGGGTCTTAGTGAGATGCCCCGGACTCCCAGCCTTCACCCAGCCAGGCGGGATTTTCACCAACGACTCGCTCTGTGCTGCATCAAGCTCTGATTGTCACACTTAAGATCCCATTTTGGCTTCGAGGGAGCCGGGGGTGGGGTGGGGTGGGGAGCGGGTAGCTTTGGGATGGGGGAGGCTGCTGTGTTGAGTTTGATTTGTGGTGATGAGGGGGAGGGCGTCCAGGAGGAGAAAAGCTCAGAGGCGCTAACGGGAGGGGAAGGCTTTGCACCCCTCAAGTTGCTGGCTTCCAGCCTCGTGTTTCAGTGATTGGCTCACAGGCCGAATTTCTTCCAAATCTTCCAGATCTTCTCAGCCGCAGTGTCTGGCCTAGTGTCCCTTGCACGGTGGGCCTTCAACTGTCGCAACAGTTACTCTGTTGGTAGGTTCAGGAAGAGCTATGCCAGACAGAGACCTTGCTATTATGTTGGTCTTTGTCTCCAGAGCCCCCCAACCCCCGAGCCCCTCAAGGTCCAGGATCATGCCCCTTGTCTATCTTTATACCCTAGCACCTGCTGTTGTACCTGCCGCTCGGCTGGGGCTTAATAAATGTTAGATGAACTAACAGATTCGAGAAAAGGAAAGAAGTGCAGCTGTGTTTGCTGGATAGCACCAGGCTGAGAGGGACAGGGAAAAACCTAGGTATGGGCTTTTGCTTTGGCCAACAGCGCTGGAGATTTTTGAAGAAGGGAAGAGGCCCTCCATCCCCCCAACCCACCCCCTGCCTCTGAGCTTGATCAGGGGGCTGCTTGAGGTAGGACAGTTGGGTGCATTCATTGCACCCACGGATACAGAGACACCTACTGTGTGCAAGGTGCAGGAAATACAAAGATAAGAGCTCTGGTCCTTTATCGATGGGCGCTGGTGTCATGGGGGTGGGTAGCCGAGGGGAGTAAATCAGTGATTACAATGGAGTGGATGAGTGTGCTGATGGAGTGCAGCAGGTTGCTATGGGAGCGAGGACAAGAGTCTGGGCTCTCAGAAGGCAGTAATTACGGTGCGGGTGCTGTGCGGCTGAAGAGCAGGCAAGGGGGGACCGGCAGGGGAAGGGGGCCCCCGATTGGCGATGAGGCCCAACCAGATCACAAAGGGCATCCACTGCTAGGTGAAGAGGTTGAGATTTTATCCCGAAAATCGAAAATCGTGGGAGAGCCATTGGAGGGCTCTGACATGATTAGATTTGCATTTAAGAGAAATCCCTCTGACAGTGACAATGTTGAGTTGGGGACAGGAGCTGGGAGAGACTGACAGGCAGGAGGGCGCTGAGGAAATTGCAGTGGGCCAGGCAAGAAATTATCTGATTCCGAGTGAGCTCTATTTGCATTTAATTTTTCTTCACCTCCCCCTTTTTTCAGCCCTTTGGTTTGGTGTAGTTTTTTTTTTTTTTCTCTAGGATGAGTCACCATGGAAAAGCTTCACTTGAGCAATCAACTCTGTGGATTTTAATGGCTTTTTTCTGATTACAAAATTAATAAATATTCATGTTAGATAATTTGGAAAATAGGGGAAAGCACAAAGGAGAAAACAAAAAACCGCCAGCTCTCTGAGCATCTAGAGCAAAACACAACTTAGCGTAAATATTGCTTTGCCAATCGCCCCCCCCCAAACCGGATCATTCTCATTAGCATACAAATATAGAGTTATTTCTTTTGTCCTAAAAAATTCCAGTCTTGATCCTTCCTTTCCACCCACCTCCAGCTATCACCCCATTTCTTTGCTTCCCCATACAGCAAAACTCCTGGAAATATGGACTATACTTGCCATCTCCATCCTTCTCTTTGGGTGGACTGTCCACCCCTCACGTCACCAAAACGGCATTGTCACCAAAACGGTGTGCTCGCCCACAGCATCTAGGTTCAACTCAGGGGTCAACTTTGAGTGCCCATTGTTCTTTCAACTTTCAACACAACTGGTCACTCTCTCCTCTTTTGAAAATGTGCTGTCTGGGCTTCCAGGATACTGCACTCTCCTGGATTATCCCATCTTACTGGCAGCTCCCCTGCACACTGTTTTCCTAGTTCCCAGCTCTGTCCTTTGACCTCTCCTCTATCCCTTCATCCGGGGTCATGGTGTTGAATACCTTCAGCTTCCTGAATATTCCCATACTTACAGCTCCAGCCAGACTCCTGCATCTAACCTGAACTCCAGACTCCTATATGCTACCACCTCCTGCCTAATGACCATCTTGAACTTCACTGTTCCAAAGTGAATACCATCTCCCACCCAACCCACTCCTCCACAGCCTTCTCCATCTCAGGAAATGGCAATACCATCCTTCTGCTCACTCAGACAAGATGCCTGGAGTCATCCTTGACTCCTTTCTTCCATCCCACTCTCATTTCGTCAGCAAATCCCATCAGCTCTCCCTCTAAAATGTATCTTACCATTCTAGGTTGCCCCCCAGGGCCAGCACACCGTTGGCCCCACACCTGGATTATTCCAAGAGTTTTCTACTTCTCTTCCCAACTCCACCCTTGCCTCCTTGTTGCCTGTCTCAAAACAGGTCCTTTAACTTCATTAGTATTATATATTATATTCAGTTATGTCACTTCTCTGCCTAAAACCCCTAATGACTTCCCAATTCAGAGTAAAAGCCACAGTTATGGTTATAATGTGCCACATGATCTATGCCCCACCCCTGCCTCACTGCTACTCTCCCCTTGCTCACTCTGCTCCAGATACCTGGACCTCCTTAATGTTCCTTGAACTTGCCTGATCCATTCCTGCCTCAGGGTCCTTGACTAGATTCATACCTCAGGGCCTTTGCACTTCCTAGTCCTTACGACTGGAATGCTGTTTCTGCAGATATCTGCATGACCTCTTCCCTCATTGCTTTAAAAACCTTGTTCATAGGTCCCCTTTTCAACTTATTTTAAGTTGTACCCTTCTCCTACATTCTCCAGATCCCTCCCTTATTCCACTGCACCACTATTCTCCTCTGCACTCACCACTTTCTAACATCCTATCTAATTTATGTAATTATCCTGTCTCCCCTGCCAGACTGTAAGCTCCATGAAGGCAGGCAGTTTTGTTTCATTGGCTGCCGTACCTAGTACCTAGTGTGTGCTCAACAAACACTCGTTCACTGAAAAGAAGAGATTAAAAAGTGGCCATGACTGTGGCTGGGGTGGGGTTGGGAGGCAGCTCTTCAAAGGAGAGGAGGCTGGACAGGAAGGAGCAGGAGAAGGCAAGGGAGGAAAGGAGCAGCCTTGGGCAAGGGACTGATGGAGAGGCAGAGTCCAGCTGCTCCAAGGGGTCAGGGAGAGAAGGCCTGACCCTTCTGTCGGTCCTGGGAGGAGGGTTGTTCCTGACTGACCGTTAACGGCCATCTGTCATCCAAGTCCTCCAGGTACCACTTCTCTTTGGAGGAATCCAGATTTCCCGGTCATGTCTGATAAATGACTGTTCCATCACAGAGTCCTGGAGTCACCCCAAGAGTGACTATTGTCCTGCCATCCTCCTCCAGCTCTCCTCAGAGCTGCATGCTAGGCAACGTTGCAAGTACTTTACACGTATTAACCCTTCTGATCCTGAGAACAGCTTAAAGACTGTGCTCAAGTGTGTGATAACATGACCCCCATTTTATGAAGGCACAGAGAGATTAATGCTTTGGTAACCTCAGGCACAGAGCGATGAGCGACCTGCTCATCAGTGATGGCATCAGGATTCAACCTGAGACAGCCTGGCTACAGGACCCGTCCTCTCTCTGCCCTTGTGCCATCTGCTTCCTCAGCAGTTGCCATTGTTGTTGGTGTGGGTGGATTTAACTTTGTCTTTTGGGCAGTGGGGCCGCCGTTCAGCCTTGACCTCGGAGGGGGTCCATTCCGAGAACCCCCGATCTCTAGTCACCACCATGGAGATGTGGACTACAGTTACCCCCACCATGAAGCTGCCTGGAAGAGGCCAGGGGCATATGAGGAGAGGTGACTGCTGTTGTCACAGATCGGGGGTGCCTGGGGGGGGTGGGGGGTGAGATGCTCCCCATCCGCTGTTACCCGGAGCCTCGTCCATTTTGTGTCTGTGGTTGGAGTTCGGCTGCCGAGTGCCGGTTCCCTTCAGGCATCAACTTCACCTTTCCGGGGCCTCCCTCAGCCTCTTGCCTTCCTCCATCCTGGAGGTGCTGTTCTCTGCTCGATGTTCCCATCCTTCCTTAACCCTGTGATAAATTAATTCACACCAAGGTATTACTTTCCTTGTCAGGTTATGGCTTCCAGGGAGGCAAATGGCTTACTTCTGAGCTGTTTCTTTTTTTCTGTGAGAAGCCTGACAGGGCTGTAATTAGGCTTCCCTGAGCCTGTGGCAAGACTGCGTTCTTGGTTCTCCCATATCCTTCCCTCGGCACCGGGAAGGGAGCAAACATCTGTGTAGTTTTCAGGCCAGGGGAGATTAGTGTTCTTGGAATTGGGGCCCAGCTGCGAGGGCTGAGCATTCCCAATTTGTAAGCGGGTGTTGTCTCCATTCACAAGACTGTGAGGGTGTTTGGAAAGTTATTTGCAGTTCGAGGCGATTTCCCTTTTGCCCCCAAGCTGTTCTGTGGAACAAAGAACGGCCTCAAGGGAGCTGTGTTCCGGTGGCGTCCCTGGGGTCTGTAGGAAGAGCCGGGTCCTCTGCTCCTGTCTTCCCAGTTTCTCTTCCCTGTCCTCCATCTTCACCCACTGCCTCAGGCCCTCCACCAATTCCCTAGGCTGTCAGATGTATGGACCCTTCACTCTACTGGGGCCAGAGGGGGGCATCCGGGTACACCAAGCCAGCCCGCCTGCCCCCCCACTGCAGCTGTTCTCCACAGCTGGTCATGCCCGGCCCAGAACGACGGGCACACATCGGTCATGGTGGGCTGCTGAGATTTCCGTTGCTTTCCTGGGAGAAGACAAGTCCCTTTTGTTAGAGCTTCCCAGGGGGGTGCCTGTGCCAGCGAGGACCAAGGCTCATCCCTCCTTCCTTCACCCCACTAGCAATCCCAGCTTTGCCGCAGTGGGATTGTCCCCAGCCCACCCCATTGCGCCAGAAAATGTTGCAATCACCATTGCCTAACATGCAGTCGGTGCTCAAAAAGAAAAGAAAATGAGGCCCAGGCCTTGATCCCCAGTCCCACTTTTAAATCTGTGAACTTGAGGGTTGTGAGCAAGCTGGCCAGGGGCAGCGGAGGTGAGCGGGGAGAGGTGGTGGTCACAGGGCGGTGGCCTCTGTCTGCAGCAGGGGTGGTGGTCCTACCTCTCTTCCAACTGCCCCACTGAAGAGTCCATGGCTGTTCCTTTATTTTAGTCACAGGGGGTTTTATTTTTGTTTTAGTATTATTTATTCATTTAGAAGATTATACGCATTTTAGTATAAGCACGTTGCCAAAATGTAAAAATGGAGAAAATTTAAAAATGGCTTAAAATAATAATCTTTCTATTCTAACAGGAATTGTTAACATTTTGGTAATTTTTTGACATTTTAGTATCATGTTTTCCCATACTCGGGGTATTGCTTTCTTCATTATTTTAAAACACCTTTTAATTGCAAGAATAGTATGATGGACTTTTTGCCCGTTGTTAACATTTTACACATTTGCTCTCTCTGTATGTACACACACATACCCACACACAGATAAGTATAAAGTTGACCCTTAAACAACATGGACTTGAATTGTGTGGCTATACATGGATTTTTAAAAATAAATACAGTATGATACTGTAAATGTATTTTCTCTTCCTTATGATTTTCTAATTTTTAAAAGATTTTTATTTATTTTGAGAGAGAGAGAGAAAATGAGAGAGCGAGCACAAGTGGAGGCAGACACAGGGGGAGAGGGAGAATCTTAAGCAGACTCCATTCTGAGCATGGAGCCCAACAAGGGGCTCAGTCTCACGACCCTGAGATCATGACCTTGAGCTGAAATCAAGAGTTGGATGCTTAATGGACTGAGCTACCCAGGCGCCCCTCCTTATGATTTTCTTAAAACATTTTCTTTTCTCTAGCTTGTTTTACTATAAGTGTATAATACATATAACATACAAAACACGTATTAATTGTCTGTTTATATTACTGGTAAGGTTTCTGGCCAACAGTAGGCTATTAGTAGTTAAGATTCTGGGGAGTCAAAGTTACGTGTAGATTTTCAGCTGTGTGGGGGTTGATCAATTGTATATTCCTGTAGATATGCATATCTATGTGTGTGCATATATATATGTCTATCACATATGTTATAAATAATATATGTGTTTATGATTCTTATTAGACTTTAGTTTTGATAGCTAGACAGCCTTAGGGAACCCAAGGCTAGGAATAAGATATCTGGGTTCTTACCTCACCTCTGTCCTTTGTTGGCTTTGCCATTGAGTCCCTTCACTCCCCCAGTCTGCTTTATCTCCTTAACACGAATAGTTACTTCTTACCCTGTCATTTGTCATGTACTGGGTCAGCTGAGATAATGAGGATAAGGATGTCTGGTAAACTGAAAGGATGTTCTGGCCTGAAGCAAAGCATCATCGAGATTTATTGGGTCCCAGGGCTCAAACCAGGGTGACTTTGGGATGAGGTCTTCACCCTTCATAGCAGAGGGGCCCAGGCACTTCCCATGCTGCAAATCAGTGCAGAATCCTGGGATGTCTCTCTCCTTGGTTGCCAATGTAAGCGTAGAGCTTGGGGTGAAGGGCAGCTGCCCTCCTCACTGAGTCCCATGCTGGGAAAAGTGTCTCAGAACGATGTGGGAGGGCAATCCAATCCAGCTATGTGCCCTCCCTGTGGTCAGTGGGACTACATGAGGACTGAGTGCCAACTCCCAGTGATACCCAAGGACATTGCTTTTGGCTCACCCATGCTTGTATTTAAGAGGCAGTTAAGATGGTGAGTAAAAGATTATTGACACATTAAATCTCTAATTATTTGGACCAGCTTAGTCCATAGCTGGATTTCCAAATGGGTTGGACATCAATTATTTAGGCTACTCCCTGTGGGTAGAGGGGCTGTTGTGCGTCAGGGGAGGCGTGCGTCCAGCGTACATGGTTCCGCGTAGACCTTGACTCAGCAGTGCCCCTAGAGGACAAAAACGACGTTGGCAATAGACGAGGAGCACTTTTCTAAAACACTTTCATATCCATGATTACATTTTATCTATGTGATGATGGGCAAGGCAGGTGTTACTGTCCCAAAGTTCATGCTGATGAAACTAAGGCCAAGGCCCCGCAGCAAGTTGGTGGCAGCTGCTCACCCCGTGCTCCCTTGGGAAATGGCAGCATGAACACTGGCTGGCCCAGCAGAGCCACCTCGTAACTGGCATCTCCTCCCTTTGTGCAGTTCACGCTCACAGTGGCTCATTCTCCTGTGTCAGTGCTGTCTTTGCACCCAGCCAGCTGAGGTAGGGCTCTGGGAAGGCAGGCCTGGCCCAGCCCTCCCCTTTCAGCATGTGTGCGTGTCTCCTAGGTGCTGCTGGATAAGGAGAGAGAAGCCATGGCCAAGTCCCGCCGGTTGGAGCGTAGCACGAGCAGCTTCAGCTACTCCTCCTACCACACCCTGGAGGAGGTGGGTCTGCCCAGCCGACTCCGGGCTCCGTTGCCCTTTGGGCTCTCCGGGTCTCCAGACTCGGGCAGGGACTAATGAAGGACTCTGATGTCTGTGGGAGCGTGTGAGCCGACACTTGGGGAGGGCAGCGCAGACACTGGGGGAAGGCCTGTCAGGCAGACAGCTTCAAAGAGGTCCAGAAGCCAGGATTCAGAGAGAACTGGGGCTCAACGGTACCGCCCAGGGCAGCTATGGGGCAGAGTAATGGGTGGAGGAGGCAGGATGCTGAGGTAGAGATGCGTCACTGGCCGGTGCGGAACTGGGGGGAGGGGGGGCCGTCTCGGTAGCCAACACTGTGGCTGGGGATTCAGGGGGGTCTCGACCTCCCCACAAGCATTTCTGGTGTCAAGGGGCCCCAGCTGTGGGTACTAGGGTGTAAAGGGGCAGGAGGCCAGGCACGTTGGAGAGCCGTTTTGTAGAGTAGAACAGAGAGTTGCCTCAGTTGGAGAAATTCCTGATCCCAGTGACAGCCAGCTAGGGCAGGCATGACCGATTGTGGCTTGTTTATAAAGGAGAACGTAGAGACGCCCAGTCCAGAAAGAAACTCAAGGCACAGGCCCCATTTTCAGTTAAAGGCTGGGATGACAGGGTATTGTCCACCATGTGATTATCATTTCTTTCCCTGTTTCATGCGGCCTGGAATAGAAGATCCATTTTTCCCATATATTTGGTAATTCAATTATATACATTGAAAGAGGAAGGGGAGGGATTGATATGGCCTGTCAGTATTTATTGGTATCAGAGATAAATAACCCTGCCTTCGGAGGGCTTAGAATCTAAAAGGGCCGAGAAGGCCCCAACAGCACAGTGGGGTCTGCGGGGTCTGTCAGATGGACTCGGGTGGGCCAAGAGAATGGAAGCCGGAGAGAGACTTAGGGGCCGAGTCTGGGGGCTGAGCGGGTGAGCACGCGCAAACACTTAGCTCTGCATGTGGTGTGTGGCCTTCGGGTCCAGGCTGACCGTAGCTCGTTGCCTTAGGCCTAGTGGGTGTCTTTGATTTGTGGAGTTCTCCATCTGCGTTCTCCTAGATCCTCAAGGGAGGTGGGAAAGCGTTCAGGAGGGTGGGAGCCCTGCCTAAGAGCCCATCTGATATCTGTCATTTCTTTCAGATATATAACTGGATGGACAACTTTGTAACTGAGTATTCAGATATTGTCTCAAAAATTCAGATTGGCCACAGTTTTGAAAATCGGTCCATTCTTGTCCTGAAGGTAAAAGCTGGCGGTGTTGACCACTAGACTCTACAGTGAGTGCCTCTGGCATAAGATTGAACTCGTGAGGGGTCATGGTGGGGTGGCAACTGTAGGGACAGAGAAGATGTGTGTGCTCTTGCCCGGAGGTGACCCGCAGCGCAGAGGTTGTGGTGTTCAGGGACCCACCCTTATAGGTATGGGCAGGTGACAGTGCAATGACCTGACATGTCCTCAGGAAGTAGGTGGGAGGGTTGCTAAAGAGAGGGAACTGCAAGATGGCAGTTGTCATGCTGGTCTTGGGATGTGAGTGTGGAGAAGCTGGCTTTCCCCCTATTCCCTTGGTTGCCTCATCTGTTAAATGGGAAAAGAGGTAAATAGAGGCCTCATTTTCAAATGATTGAGGCCATCTGGCTCAGGCAACCCCTCAGATAGGACTGAGTCTGTGGGGAGACCTCCCGACCCTTCCCAGGGGCCACCGGAAACAGAGTTTGAGCAAAGTTGGCAGCATCAATGCCCTTGGTCATGAATGAGGCAGGATGGGTAGGAACACGGAGCCCACCCGAAAACAATTCTTAGTACGTGCCCTCAAGGGCACTCAGGAGTGTGGATCACACAGGGCCCCTGACATCCAGCTCTCGGAGAAGACGAGTGCTGTTGCTCTCAACCTTGTCCTGGGGGACTCTTCCAGGTGTCCTCCTTTCCCTTAGGACGTGACCTCCTCTGTCCCTGCCTTGATTTCCCTGGGGGCTGTGCGGGTTCTCTCTTTAATGTTGTCTAAGACCTTGCTCCTCAAAGTGTGGTCCTGGTACCTGCCTGCCAGCAGCGTCCCCAGGAGCTTGTCAGAAATGCCCACCCCCGGACCCTTTCCCCCACCTCCCAACCGAGCATCTGCATGTTAGGGAGATCCTGGGGGATTCAGTGCCCTTGAAAGGACGAGAAACACCAGTCTAAGGTACTTTCAGGCCCGGGAAGCTCTGTGCTTCTGGCTGGATCACCGCGTTCTCCACATGCATGTGCCCCACAGCGTCATCAGGGCCCACACATGCGTGCCCTTTGTGGACTCAGGCACAAGTACCTGCGCATAGAGTCCCCCTCTTGGGCCCAGAGGGGCCGTCCCAGGTGGTGCGGAGACATCTGGGGCCTCCTTCTGGGAGCCTAGGGACAGCCCTGCAGCTGTCTCAGTTCACGCTCGTTTGGGGCCTGGTGCTTTTTACCCAGTTCAGCACTGGAGGTTCTCAGCGCCGGGCCATCTGGATCGACACTGGAATTCACTCCCGGGAGTGGATCACGCATGCCACTGGCATCTGGATGGCCAAGAAGGTCAGCGTGGAATGGGGGTGGGGCAGGGCTGGGTGTCACCCACCCCTGACTGTTTCAGGATGTCACCAGCTGAAAATTTATACTGGGTTTGTTTAAACTCAGGGGCTCTCTCCCCTCCTGTCCTTTGGAACAGCTGCCGTGTGCTCTGCCCGTCGGCAGCCCAGCACCCACATCCTCCTTTGCCTTCTAGTTGTTTAAAATCCAAGCCTTTACTTCTGCACCCAGAATGCATCTGATGGCTTGAGGCCACCCTTGCCCGCAGCCACTGGCTGGGCCACCTTAGAGGAGAGCCGGCAGCGCCTCCCATCCCTCCCCTGTCCCCACTCTGCCCTTGCTTGCAGATTGTCAGTGAATATGGCAAAGACCGCACCCTGACAAACATACTGAACGCCATGGACATCTTCATGGAGATTGTCACCAACCCTGATGGGTTTGCCTTTACCCACAGCATGGTGAGGGCATTTGGGAAGGAGAGGGACCGGGGTCAGGGTCAGCTCTGGGGCGGATGCAGGAAAGGTTGCTGAGGCTTTGGGAAGGTTCCCTGGGGGCCGGCCCCTTAGGGGCTCATGGCAGAGAGTCTCACGAAGGCAGGCAGGTGACTCGGGAGCTGCAGCTTCAGACCTTGCCATTGCATCCCTGCTCTGCTGCCCAGGAAGGCCACTGCTGCCAGCCTGTGCCTGTCCTCTGGCCTCCCCCCCACAAGGGGATCTACAGTCCTGCCCCATCCTCGTGCCATCCTGCCCTAGAGATTCCTTCCTTTTGCCCCTCTCTGTCCCCCCAGACCTGCCTTCCTAGGACAGGATGTCAGAGGCTCCCACCCCTGGAAAAGGGGTGAATGTCACCTGCCATGGGCTTTTTCAGAACCGCCTGTGGCGGAAGAACAAGTCCACCAGACCTGGAATGTTCTGCATCGGTGTGGATCTTAACAGGAACTGGAAGTCGGGCTTTGGAGGTATGGCAGTCCGCTGGACCTGGGGCCGGGCTGGAGGAGTACTGGGGCCTTGGCACGTCTCCCACACAGTCAGGTTATGTGGATGCATGCGGTGGAGGCGGTGTAGTTAGCTAATGCAAGTGAGTCATGGCCGGAGATGTGCCTAGGACTGGCAGAGCGGTATGGGGAGACGTTGCACGTCTGTGGACGTACGCGTAAGAGCAGGCTCCTTGGGAGACGCGGGAAACAGCTCCTTGCATGCAGGACTAACTCTAGGAATTGTACCTTAAGTACAGTGGGGGAAGGTACAAGAGAGTCTCCAGGTTGTACCTTCAAGAGGTACAAGATGGTCTTGCTGCTTGCTCAAAACTCAGTTTATATGCCCACCCCCCAATCTCTCTAGCCTGCCCTTGTAGGGAGCCCACCAAAAGAAAAGGTCTTCAAATGCATTTCCTGAGAGCCATGATCTGAAATTTACCCTTTGGGGAGGCCAGAACAATAGTTTTAATGATAGAATAAGTCAATTTCTTATCATCAACTCTGATTTGAGCCTGGTTTTTATTTTTTATTCAGTTGCTTTGTAATCCTGGCCGCGTGGGCTGCTGTACGTCTGCAGGGTCATACCGTTCTAGGCAGAGCTAGGCAGCTTCCTCCCAAGTTCCTTGTTGTTATTTTCAATGATCTCCCTCACCATACCAGGAGTGTAGGGACTAGATGGGAAAACTGAGGCCTCCAGAAAACCTAGACACCCTTATGTGGACCTTGGGAATGCAGGAATTTGGTGGGTGGGATGCTGGGCCTGGCCAAGACAAGTTGCACAGGCACAGTCTTCAGGCTCCAGATGCGGCACCCACTACACTGGGGTGGGGTGGGGGGATCGGAGTTTGGCTCCAAGGAGACAGTGCCTTTGCTGTTGAAAAGGAGATTCCACAGATGGGTGGCCAAACCAATGAGATCGAACATTCTAGATCTGCCCATCGCTTTGGAAATCTGGCTTCCTTCCGTTTGTTCTCGTTGAAAAATTAACATCTGAAGCATCCCGAGTGAGGTGTGGGGGCTGTCTGAGAATCTGGCACTGTGTGTGTAGCTGCTTGTGTAAGGGAACACAACCGTGTAAAAATGGGTGTTTTCACCTCCAAATGACCAGACACTTGCTCCGAGTGGGCATCCAGGTGGGCCCCTCAGAACCGGCTGAAGCGAGTGCCCGTGTACCCCAGGATAAACCGGTTAGCAGCAAGACAAATGATCTCTTAAAGAAAATAACATTTGTGTGTTTCTCCACCGGAGGCAAGAAGGGAGGGGGCCAGTCCGTATATATACAATATAAAAAAATGTATGGGGGAAAAAAGAAAGCCCAGAGGGGACAGAAAGCTCCCATAATCCCACTACCCAAAGATTACTGCTTTTAATAATTTACCATGTCCTTCCAGAGATGTCCCCTTGCTACAGATTACATTTTCAGAAAAGGAAAAATAAATAGCTAATGACTCCATTAGCAGGTACTTGTGACACCAGCGGGCTCAGAGGACTTGGACTGTGAACGTCAGAAAGAGGCAGGCAGCTAATTCCCATTTGGTCCAGGGAAGATTAGTTTATGCTGCTTAGCTCAAACCAGAACTAATGGCCTGAAGTGTTTCTCCATATTTGGGCAAAGCCACCTGGTTGTTGGCAGGGGAACCGCTTTCTGTGCGTGGGCTGTTAACGCAGACAAAGCTCTCAGCCCTCAGCCCCCACCCTCCCCACCCCGCTCTGCTCATCTGTTGCTGTTTGTCATTCATCAAGGGGAGCAGGTGCAGAAGCTCCCGGCAGACACAACAAACAGGGCCACTGTCCAGCCTGTGGGGCTGCTCCTCACCCTTGCTTCCTGCAGACACATCCCCTTCTCACCCGGGTCCCCACCGCAGGCGGGACCCCGCAGGCCAAGGGGGGGACGCTCTCCCCGGTGACGGAACCGCCTCTGGGCCTGCCTGTGGACAGAAATAGTGTGTGCTGGGGTTGGTGACTCAGGCAGGAAGATTTTGTTTATGGTTTTATCATTGACTTAATTTAATTGCTGCATAATGAGTAATCTGTAGACCATCCCTCCCACTCATGCTGCCCTCACCTGCACTCCTGGGGAGGACTGATTTGCTGCAAGCCTACTGCAGCATCTCAACAGGTCTCTGGGCCAGTCCCCCCAACCCTCCAGCCAGTGCACTGCCCTGAGGGTCTGCTCTGGCATCCCCAGGTGGCTTCAGAAGTTGGGGTGACCCCTGACCTCAGCCTCAGGTTTGTGTGCAATCATTTCAGGGAGGAGTGAGAGGGGGTACTGGGACGGCTCTTTCCAAACATGTTCCTAACCCACAAATCTTGACCAGCCCACAATCCAGGCCTCTATGACATTGGCCCTTGGGGAGGGGAAGGAGACACAAGAAGAGGGTAAGAGGAAGAAAAGAGATGGAGAGCAGAGAATCTAGGAGATGGGAACCAATTAAATTTATGAACAAAATAGAAACTCAGGGTGCCTGGGTGGCTCAGTGGGTTAAGCCTCTGCCTTCAGCTCAGGACATGATCTCAGGGTCCTGGGATTGAGTCCCGCATCGGGCTCTCTGCTCAGCAGGGAGCCTGCTTCCTCCTCTCTCTCTGCCTGCCTCTCTGCCTACTTGTGATCTCTCTCTATCAAATAAATAAATAAAATCTTTAAAAAAAGAAATAGAAACTCAGCACCTCTCCCCCAGCTGAGGTCCCCAAGAAGAATTGTCAAAGGATCTTTGCATCGGTGGCTCCTAGACTGGCCTCAGGCAGGGATCTAGCCTCTGTTTTTCTGGCCCCAAGTCCATGTTGCTCCCGAGGCTGTGATTGTGGCAAAGCTTGAACAGATACTAAGTCTGAGCACTCAACTGACCCAAGACTTCGGCACGGCAGGGGAGAGTCGGCAGAGAAGGGTCAGCTCAAAGGGGTCGATGCTCACTGGGGAAGCCAGGGTTGCAGACCTTGAGTTTCCGCTGAAGGCTGTCCCACTTTTCTAATGGAACCAGTCAGGGCTGAAGCACAGGACAGGCTGAGAGAGCTCTCTACAAGGCCGGCAGCCCGGCTGAGTCCTCATGTGAATTCATCCCTCTGATGTATTAGACTAGGGTGTGCCCCAGTGATAAAAACCCACCCGAATCTCAGGGACTCAACACAGTAGAAGTTAATTTTTCAGGCGCACGAAGTCTGACGTGGGTAGGTGACTCTGCTTGGCAACTTTCTCCTGACTATGACAAAGGGACCCAGGATGCTTCCTCCATCTAGAGTCCTTTGCTTGCAACCACATAGACAGAAGAGACTGTGGAGGAGCCATGCCTGCCCTTAACAGCCTCAAACTACAAGTGACCCATCATTACTGCTCACATTCTCATTGGTCCGAAGTCGTCACGGGGCCTCAACCAAACTGCAAAGGACGATGGGAGACGTAGAGGAAAACCTGGATATTTTGGGAGCATTAAGTGTCTTTCCCAAACCTGGGAATTCAAACTCTCTGGACGGTTTTATTTTAATTCCAGGAAATGGTTCTAATAACAACCCCTGCTCTGAGACTTACCGTGGGCCCTCCCCTCAGTCGGAGCCGGAGGTGGCGGCCATAGTGGACTTCATCACCACCCATGGGAACGTCAAGGCTCTGATCTCCATTCACAGCTACTCTCAGATGCTCATGTACCCTTATGGCCACTCTTTGGAACCCGTTCCAAACCAGGAGGAGTTGGTGAGATTGGCGGCTCGGGGCTTTGGGGGAAGCGTCAGGAAGACCTCCACAGAGGTTCAGGCCCTCACTCCAAAACCGGGGTCTGGACTCATCGACCCCATGGTAGGGAGGAGGGGGAGAGCTTGTTCTCACATGTGGTCGAGTTCAAAGCCAAAGGGGCTGTGCTCCCTTCTCATGAGAGCCACCTGTTCATTCAACTTCTGGGACCCCTCAATTCTTGTCTCTCAGCAGCTGGTGAGGGTGTGGGGGCGTGGGGAGCCCCAGCCTCTCATCCTCTGGCTACAATCCCACAGTACCAGCTCGCCAAGGACGCGGTGAAGGCCCTGTATGAGGTCCATGGGATCGAGTACATTTATGGCAGCATCAGCGCCACTCTCTGTGAGTGGGCCATGGCTGGAGGCCCCTTGTTCCCCTGGGGTGGGGCAGGTGCGGGCTGGTAGCTGACTGGCAGGGCTGGTTGGGCCCAGGGCAGCGCCGTCGACCTAATCAGGTTGGGTCGGAGCTGATGTCCTCGCCGAATGGAGGGGTGAGTTCTGGTCTTTCTTTGCAGCACTAGTTAATGTCCAGCTTACCGTGATGTTCCTTGAAGGAGCAGATCTTAAGCTCGGTGGCCTCCAGGAGCTCTCTTCTTACTGGCACAGAGAATGGGGAGGGTGGGCAGGGCATGGGCCAGGTTGAGGCTGGGGTCAGGAAGCACAGTGTTGTCTGGGGTGAGTTGGGGTTTGGCCGCCAGGGCCCACTTGCGGCTCAGACAACCCTGTACCTTTGGGCCACACCCTGTTCTTCCTGCTGGGGGCGTCTCTTTGCCCTTCTGTGTCCAGATGTGGCCAGCGGGATCACTGTGGACTGGGCCTACGACAGTGGCATCAAGTACGCCTTCACCTTCGAGCTCCGGGACACGGGGCGCTACGGCTTCCTGCTGCCGGCCTCCCAGATCGTCCCCACGGCCCAGGAGACGTGGCTGGCGCTCCGGACCATCATGGAGCACACCCTGCAGCACCCCTACTAGCAACAGCGCTGAGGGAGGAGCAGGAGCACGCACTCCCTTCCCCTAGGCCGGGGCTCCTCCTGAACCCCGAGTGATCCATGGTCCTCCCCACACCCTTACCCTGACCCCTTAGGCAATAAATAACAGGTTTGAACAGGCTGGGTGGCCTCTGGTGCTGGCCACCACCCATTTTGGGCTCAGCACTGAGAAGGGGCCAGGGGCAGCTTGAAATGCCTCTTTGCTCTTTAGGAATCCGGGAGGATCAGGGACTAGCAGACCTCCTATTCCTTCCCCTGAGTGCTCTCCAGGCCCAGAACACATAACCCACTCTCTGGGAGCTACGGGTATACACATTGTCCCCTTGGTGTCTACACTCTGAGATGAGGGCACAATGTTTCACCCAAAGGAGTGGGTCTGCGGTGGCAGCATCTCGGGCGCCCCGAGGGAAAGGTGGGTGCAGACAAGCAGCTTCCTCCTCCTCCTCACCTGTAGTCACCAAGTTCTAGTCAGGCCCTGAGCAGGCCGGGCATTTACCAAGCAAGCACTTTATTTAAGGATGAGAAAGGGACAATGTTCTGAGATACAACTGAGGTGCTCCCCCACCCCCATCCTGAGGCTCCCTTATAGTTTTTGCCTTCCTCCACCACTGGGGAGTGGGGAGAGTGGGTCCCTTTGTCCTGCCCTCAGGGGAAGGCAGGTCCTCTGAAGAAGCAAGAGGTTCACCAAAGAGCTGAAAGGGTCTCTGTGAGTCTGAGGCAGAAAACAAGACTTTCATTGGCAAGAGCCAGACTTTTGTTGTTGTTCTTGCAAAAGAAAAGGATTGTGGGACCCGTGATTTGGTCCCTGCAGGACACAGAGCACAGGGTTTTACTATACATCACAAATATGGAAGGAAGCAGGGGAAAACGAGAATAAGTCCGCCTTTCTACCCACCCTGTAAAAGAAGACAGAGGTTGAATCAGTGGGAGGCGGGGATCAGCGGGGATCAAAACTCTAGGTAAGACCCACGTCCAATATGGCAGCTGAGGCGCAGATTAACAAGGACTGAGCCAGGGGTCTAGATGGGTGGGGTACACCTGAGCAGTGCAGCTCTCGGGAGCTCTGAGTAAAGAAATGGTGAGGAGGCCTGGGGTAGGCTGAGCCCAAGGACCATGCAGCCAGTGGCCACGGAGGCACCACAGCCAGGGGAGGCCTGTGCCCAGAGAAGCTGCACCATGAGGAGACCTGAGGAAGTCAGGGTAAAGAACACCTGAAGAACCCAGATCCCCTTCAGGGCAAGAGCCAACAACAGAGGAGGAGAGCGTCCCGCTTCGGGCTGCATTTCCTTACGAGGGGAAGTGGAAGTGATTTGAGCAAGCTAGAACCTCCAGGTTGAAGTTTTCTGCTCTTAGCGGAAATACGATGCCATGGGCTGAGTTAGCATAAGCTATAGACAAATAAAGCAAGTTACACCTTTGCACCCTGGAGTCTGTGATTATAACTTTTGTACCCTCTGCTCAAATATTTTCATTTCATCCTCTTGGGGAGAATATTACTGGTATTCGTAAGCTTGTATTTCAGATGAGGAATGCATGGTCACGATTTGGAGAGGTTTTAAAGACCACACGAGGCCACATGCTTGGGAAGTGGTTGAGGGAGATTTGAACTTGGGTGTGTCTAACTCCAAAACCACTCTGTCATCATTTGTCCAAGTGCGACATGTAACCGCACCTGCAGCAGAGTCCATGGGGAGTCGTTGAATGTGACGGTAGTTGGGTTCCATTCCCAGATTGAATGGGAATCTTTGGGGTGTACCCCCCGAATCTGTATGTTTACTATCTGCCCCAGAAGTTGTGAGGTTCCTTAAAGGCTGAGATTCACCTGCTCTCCTGCTTCCCAGAAGAACACATTTGAGTCTTCCTGGGGACATTGGGGCTCAGCGTCTCTACCCTCTGCCATTATCCATTAAGTCTGAAGGTGGTTACAGCAGCGGGAGGCTGGTCATTCTTCCCAAGGGGCTGCCTTGGCCTTCACCTAAAGTAATGTGGTCGGAGGCCACAATCATCAATACAAATTCTGGAAATACAAATTCTCAGGCCACCCCAGACCTCCTGAACCCACATCTCTGGGGATGGGGCCCAGGTGATGCTGCAAAAGCACTGTCCTAGAAGCAGGAGTAGCTGGACCCTGATGGGTTTCTCAGTAACAACAGTGAAAATAATTAGCTTTCCTAGCACTTGCTGTGTGCCAGGCATGGCTGCAAGTGCATTACAGGATTCAACACATTTCCTCCTCGCAGCTCTAAGAATTAGGACTCTTACTGCCTTGATTTCCAGATAAAGAAGCTCAGGCTCAGGATAATAGCTAAGGGGCACCCAGCTAACTGAGTGGTAGTCCTGGGACCTGCGTCATGCCCAGAGCCCCTTAGGACCAAGGGCCGGGAACTTGTTCTCACAGCCATGTTGACAAGACTTGTGTGCAGCCAATAGACTCAGGAAATTTGGAGCTGAAACTGCTTTACAGAAGGGGGTCATCTTGAAAGACAGCTTTTTCTTTAAAATCCTTCAGTGACTCAACTCCCCCTGCCCCATCCCTGTCCCGCCACTGCCCAAGATGCCACATGGCTGGCCCTGGGGACCTCTCCTAATTTGCCTGAACACCTTGCTCGTCGGCCCCAACCTCACCAGCCTCCTCTCAGTTCTTTCTCAGCTGGAAGCATTTACACACGATGCTCCTTCTTTCTGGAACATTCTCTCCTCTCTTCTCTTCCTCCATATGGCCCACTCCTTAAATTTCTCCCTTCAATATAATTTCCTCACCAGTCCTTCAAGAACCACCCATTGGAAGTGGATCTGTTATCCTCTTTGCAAGGCCTTGGTGTATTTCCGGGATTACAATGATAATTAATTGACTTCTGTGTGGTTTTGTCTCTGCCACTAGTTTGGCTGCCCCATGAGGGTAGGGACCACGTTTAAGTTACTCAGCCTCACTCAGCTCCTGTCGGGTGCACAGCAGGAGCTCAATGTTTGTGGAAAGATTGTTTCTCCTCCTGGGCCTCTTATAGATTCTTACTTCGGTTTAGCATCAGGTGACGGAAGCCCACCTTTCTGTAGCTTAGTCAGATGGGGGTTTTATTTTTTTCACATACTAAGTCGCGTGCAGTGGGCAGACCCGCCCACCTGACTGAACGTGACTTGACGCACGGGAGAACCCAGGCCCCTCTGGCCTGCTCCGTTTGGCTACCCTGCCGTCACTTTGATGCCATCATGGGACCATATTCCAGGCAGGAAGGGCAGGGGCCAGAAATGGGGAGTCCCTGGCCAAGCTGGTCGATCCATGGACTTCCATGACACTCTGTGGGCTGGGACTGTGTCAGGTGCTCACGCTCAGCTGCAAGGGAAGCTGGAAAAGCACCTTACAGCCAAGCACGGTGCTGCCCCAAATAAAATTAGAGTCCTGTTGGTAGGAGAACAGGGAGAACGGGTATGGAAGGACGGCCAGCCGTCTCCTGAAGCTGCTCTGAAGGGAGAGAAGGTCTGAAGGGGTCTCTGAGTCAGTTTCTTTGCTCTAGTTAAACAAGTGACTGACTTAACATCAAGCCAGAGAACTTTCCAGGGCCCTTTAAGCTTCCAGCCAAACCCCTCATCTGGGGTCTCTGGATCAATTGAACTTCTGTGAGGCCCTCCATGAACCTAACGGCTGAGAGGAGACTAAAGCCAGGGGTCTTCCTCCTCTGACTGAGGGGCTCTCCTCAGCAAGCCCAGGAAAGTGGTGGCTGGAGGGGTTTAAGTGTGTCCAATAAAAGCTCAAGCCTTAAACATGCAAGTTTTAGAGATACTACAGAATCATCTCTTTCTCGTAAAATCTGAACTTATTTTTGTTTTGTTTTTCATTTCTTAGGTATATAATGCTAAACAGGAGTTCAGTTTTTCTACATTCTGCTTGGGTTTTTTGGTTTTTTTTTTTTCCTTTCCCCTTCCAACAAACTGCTCTTTTTAGGTATGTTTTTTCATCCTTTTCACCAGTAAAATTTATGAGCATTTATTTAAAAGAAAAAAACATTGGAAAAACTGAAGAGAGAAAGAGTGATTATACATATGGAAAGCTATAAAGAGCCACAGTGAGTGTGTTGCGGTTATTGCTTTCTTAAAAAAACAAGCCAGGCAGGCGGTTTGGAACCTGAAAGAGTCCTGTGTGAGGTCAGGCGGGCGGCCGAGGCTGAGAGTGATGGGCGCGTGGCGGGGGGCCAGGGAGTCCAGTGAGGAGCCGTTAGCTGCCTCCACCCCCGCTCCCCTCCCTCCTCCGTCTCCCCTCTGACCGCCCCAGACAGGCCCGGAGAGAAAATGACTTTACCGAAAACATAAAATTAAATTTAAAAAAGCTTCTTCAGAAAAATAAGATGGCCCAGACGGCTGCTGACTACGGGTGGAGGGAATCTAGGGATGGTTGGCCTGTCAGGGCCTCACCCTCTGGTGAAGTCACTCCACATCTTGAGTTTGGGTTGCAGGGGGACATGTCATGTTCTTCTGGGGACGAGGGTGTCCTGAAGGACAACTTTAACCTGTTTGGCCTTCGAATGTTCTCCTGTCCCAAGCATCTGGGATCATCCTTGGGAATGATATCTTGTCTGCAAATCCATTCTTTTTGGCTTGTCCCTCGGTCGCCTCTGGCCCTCGCCCCCCCCACCCCCACAGGGTTTGCCGTTGGCCTCCTAACCAGATTTGCCATGCTCTGTGGCTCCCCATCCACCCTCCCTTCCTTCCATCCACCTCCCTCAACCCCCCCAATGCCTAGCTAAGACCTCAAGGTAACATTTCACTTATTTTTACTTGGGGATACAGGAGGGAAATACAATGTAGAAAGTAAATCACTTCCGCCGGAAGCTGGCTTTGGAGTCAGTTTGGGTCCCTTTGTGAGACAACCCCTTCCTACAGCCTTCACTCTCCTTGGGCTTCTGCCTGTTCCCACGTTGCTTCTCCCCTCCCCCATTTCCTCTTTTACATTATGGGACATTCCTGCTTAGATCTTCTCTCTTCCGACTTTGTTCTGAGACTTGGACTCTGACTTGACATTTCCTAAAGGCCCACTGGAGTGTTTCTCTCTTCAGGTTACAAATTCTACCTCCTTTCCAGACACAAGCCCCAGCAGCCCCTTTAAAGGGATAGTTCTGCAGCTTCCAAGCAAACAAACAATAGCCTCTACTGGGCACTCAGTTAATGAAAGAAAAGCTCAAGGAGGCTGCTGTCAGGGCCTCCCCGCCACCCCCACCCAGCCTTCCAGGAAGCCCCCAGAGCCTGCAACCTCCCACCACAGCCTCAGCAGCCGGAGGCCCCTCTCAACCTACAGGCTCCTGGGAACACTCACCCATCACAAGCCTCAGGGCCCCTGTGGCTCTACTCTGATCTGCCCACAAACCTGGGGAAGGCTCTTTGTACTCTGCCCAGACCTGTCACCAAGGCTGTGATTTGTTTGGGGGTAAAATATACAAATGACCTAGAATCATAACGTGTCACTGCTGGAAGAGATCATTCTGTCCACATTCTGTAGGACAGAATTGTGAAGGAAA